AAAGAATTATTTTATAGAGGTAGAAAAATATTAACAAAATTCATCTGGAAAAAAACAAGAGGTAAAGAATATAAAAGAAAACAATTAAAAAAACATGAAGGAAGGCTACCTAGCAGTGACAGATTTCAAACTGTTTTACAAAGCAGTAAACATCAAAACAATCTGGTACTGGCTAAGAAATAAAGTGGTGGATCAGCAGAGTAGATGAGGTATAGAATACACAGTGGTAAATAACCATGGTAATCTAGTGTTAGAGAAACCCAAAGATCTAAGCTTTGGGGGCCAGAACTCAGTATATGACAAAAATTGCTGGGGAAACTGGAAAGCAGTTTGGCAAAAACTAGGCTAAGACCAGCATCTCACAGTCTATACCAAGATAATATCAAAATGGGTAAAAGATTTAGACAAATCAGGGGAGCGTGGAAAAATTTACCTATCAGAGCTAAGGATAAAGAAACTGAGCCAAACTGAGAAAAACACAAACCATTTCCCAGCTAATATGAATAAGTAGTGCTCAGAAGAAGAAATCAAAGCTATTAATAAGTATATGAAAAAATGCTCTAAATCACTCTTGATCACTTCCAGAGACATAACCGATCAACTCTCAGTGAAGATTGAAGCACATTTTTCATTTTCTTTATTTTTCTTGCTTCTTATTTTGTGACATGGCTAATACAGAAATATGTTATATATCATGGATATCATATTGCTTGCCTTCTCAATGAGTAGGAAGGGAAGAGTATTTAGAATTCAAAATAGAAGATGAATATTAAAATTGTTAAAATATTATTGCTAGTTAAAAATGTTAATGCAGCAAAAAATCCTGAATTCTCCCAAACATTTAAAAATTAATTCCAATACTACATAAACTGTTTGAAAAAAAGAGGCAAGGATGAGATCCTACAAAATCCCTTCCATGACACAAATATGGTGTTGGTAACAAAATACAGGGAGTCAAAGAGAAAAAGAAAACCAGAGACCAATTTTGATCGTGATTATTGATATGAAAACTTTCAATAAAATATTAGCAAGTAGGTTACAGTAATAAAGGCTATGATCAAGCTGCATTTATTCCAGGAATGTTGGTCTAGTTCAATATAAAGAAAACCACAAACATAACTGACCATATTAATAACAAAACTCACAAAATCAAGATTATTTTAATAGATACAGAAAAAGTGTTTATTAAAATACAATACCAATTCCTGTTTTAAAAAAAACAGAAATGCATAGAAATAATTGGAGATTTTCTTAAAATGATAAGAAGTATATCTAATACTAAGAGCAGGCAAATCTTTAATAGGGGTTAGCTAGAAGACTTTCCAATACATTCAGAAATGAAACAAGGATGCCCATTATCACCATTGCTATTTGATGCAAATTCAAGACAAGGAAATAAGACAATAAAAACATTTTGAAGAAATAAGCATTGGCAAAGAAAAAGCCAAACTATCACTTTATGTGGATGATATCATGGTTTATTTTAGAAATCAGCTAAAAAACTAATCAAAATAATGAACCACTTCAGTAGTGCAGCATAATATAAAATAAAGTCAGACAAATATTCAGTGTTTCTGTATATTACCAATAATCTACCAGAAAGGCTGGCTTTTTGAGAAAGGGACAATTATCTCTTATCATTCTTTTCAGCTGTTCTATCTAAGAGGCAGAGGGTATTCTTAAGGACTACATTATTCTTTTTTCCCCCAGACAATCAAGCACTTATTATGCTCCTACTATGTGCCAGGCAGTGGGAATACAAATATACAGAATTAAACTATTTAAAATCTCAAGAGACTTTTGCTGGACTGTACTTGTTATAAGAGAGACCATTTTCTTTGGCATGGAGGGGATTTATGGGGCAGTTTGGGATAATGAGTGATACAAAAACAAAAAAAGAAAATGTTGTCAATGAAATCATTTTTAAAATATATAGAAGAGAACAGAAGTTCAGAAGGGGATATAGACAAGAAGTGTAACATTAGTATTACCATGATAAATTGGATATACATCTTTAAATAAAAACAATGCATGTAAGAGAGGCACAGTTTCATATGCAACATCTTTTTTTTTCTTTCTGAATGCAGAAGGGATTACATCATTCTTAAAACAAAAAGACAGGGTACAAAAGAGGTATTCACTTCATCTTATTTCATCTAGGATGCTAGATTCACCCTGTCCACTAGGTACAAATATGATGCTATAATGAGTATGGTATCATGGGATGAATTTACAATGTGGAACCCCCCAGGGATTCTGAGGTCAAAATAAGTGTCCTCCTCTCTCATTATAGAAATCTTAAGATTTTTAATCCTGGAACTCAATGGGCAGTACCTGTTTTTTTGGCTATCAATAATTATATGCATTTTTTCCCATTAAAATACAGTCTCATCCATGTGGCAATATTGTTCACTTTGTTTAACATTTTAAAAAGAGAGTCTGAGGTGTTATCCACTATGGCCAAAAGCATACATTATAGGCCATGGAGAAATTATAGGAGCAAGGGGAAAAAATTACCTTTCACATCTACAGATAAGGGAAGAGGTCATGAGCAAATAAGTTATACAGATGATCACAGAAAATAAAATGAACAATTTCGGTTGTATAAAATCGAAAATGCTTTTGCACAAACAAATCTAATGCAATTAAAATTAGAAGGGAAACAGGTTAATGGGGAAAAATTTGTAGCAAATTCTCTATTAAAAGCTTTATATTGTGTGTATCTACATATATATACATATGGAATTGATTCAAATTTATCAGACTAAGAGCCGTTCACCAATAGATAAATGGTCAAAGACTATGTAGAGGTAGACTTCAAAGGAAGAAATACCAGCATTTAACAACCACATGACAAAATGTTCCAAATTACTAATAATTAGAGCAATGCAAATTAAAGCAACTTTGAGGTTCCATCTCCCACCCATCAGACTGTGTGGCAAAGATGAAAAATGAATCAACACACACACACACACACACACACACACACACACACATTCCAGTTCTTTTGTGTGTGTTATCTTCCTCCATTACACTGTAAACTTTTTGACACAGGGACTGTCTTCTTGATATGTGTATTCTCAGCACTTAGCACAGTGGATGACACATAGTAGGTATGTAATAAATGTTTATTGACTATTAATGAGCAAAATTACAAATGCTGCAGAGGCTGCAGGAAAATAGGCACACAGAAATCATTGATAGTAGAGATGCAAAGTGGTCCACATAGTGGGAAGCAAGTTATAACTGTGCCTCAAAAGTCACCAAATTGTGGCTCAACTGTACCATCACTTGGCTTAGAGCACTTGGGGAGCAAAGAAAAAGGAAATGGACCCACACATGCAAAAATATTTATAGAAGCACTTTTCAAAGTGGCCAAAAACTGGACACTAAGTGGTTTTCCACCTATAGTGAAACAACTAAATAAATTGTGGTCTATGAATGTAATGGCAGCATATTTTATTGCGCCATAAGAAATGGACAGCTTCGGAGGAAACTGAGAACTCTTAAGATCTGATACAGATTGAAGTGAGCAGGACTAGAACAACTACACAATGACAACAGTATATAGAGGGAAAAAAAAACTTTAAAAGTTTTTAGAATCCTATTTAATGCAGTCCAAAGGACTGGAGGTGAATTATGCTATTCATGTCCTGCCAGAGGTGATGCACTGAAAATCGAGAATGATACCTGTCTATTTGAACTTGGTCAAGATGAAAATTGGTTTTGCTAGAATATACATATTTATTGTGAGGGTTTTGTTGTTGTCGTTGTGGGGAAGGGGGTGCCACTGGGAGGAAGTGATAATAAATGCTTGTAAAAATAAATTTAAAAAAATTAAATATAAGAATTGCTCTCAAAAGTCCAATTAAATTGGTTAGATGTCCTATATAGGAACCATCCTTTTGTGCATTTTTAAGTATTTAAGTTGGGGAGTCATCCATACTTGCTGGCTTCACAAAGCTATATTAGCTATGCATCCAGTTCAGTGAGCCTAAAAAAGGTACATTTTGTTCTTGTGAAAGGCTTCAGAACTCTGATCAATGCAATGACCAATTAAAATCCTAAGACTGATGATGAAGCACGGGACCCACAGCTTGACACGTAAGGGAATATAGATGCAGAATAGGACACATTTTCAGACACAGCCAAAGTGGAGATTTGTTTTGCTTGACTATACGTATTTATTCTTTTTTCCGTCTTTTTTTTTTTAATGAGGTGGGGTGTGGGATGTACAGAAGACAGAAAAGGGTGAAAAGGAAAAACAAAAACAACAGCAACAACAAAAAAAGGTCACTAAGGCACCTTTAAAGAAACACAACTGAATGGACGAGAACAGAAGGAAGGCCAGAAAGAAGCAATGGCAGCTTTGGAAAATACAGATTGAATTTATTACATATTAAACAAAACAAAACAAAAAACCAACCCCCCCCCCACGAAAAAAAACAAACAAACCCTGAGCTATAGATGATAGATCAACAGGTGCATGGACCTTTTTTCAGTTCTAAGATGTTTACATGGAAATGTTTATTTAAATTGGCTGTTTGATGAGTCTAGAATAATAATGAATGAATAAAATGAAATTATGCAAAAACAAACAAGCAAACAAAAAGGTGCTTCACAGCCCGGCGCTTCTTCCCCCACCCACCAGTTCCACCCTCTAGGCCGCGCTCCACTGAGGGGCTGGGCGAGGGGTGAGGGGTTCTGGGGGGGCCGGTGCAGTGGAGCTGCGGCGGGGAGGGGGCACCAAATGGGGTGAGGACGGGCGTAACCGGAGGCCCTCCATCCATCCGTCCATCCGTCCATCCCTCCATCCCTCCCGACAGAGGCCTGGGCACATCCCGCTGCAGATCCATCCGTGGATGAAATCCAGAAGGCCCTGCATTGAGGTCTGGGGGTGCGGGTGGGGTGAGGGGCGCCCACACCTACACGCCCCCCCCCCGGGGATCTGGGGAGAGAAGGGAGGACGTAAAAGGGGCGTCCCGCGGGCCTTTACTTACCTCCCACACACAGGGAACTCCCACCGAGGATGAGGCAGGCCCGGGAAGGGGGAGGGGCGGGCGGGAGGCGGACGGAGCTCGAGCTGCTTCGCTGGCAGCCCCTTTTTCAAAGAACGCTGGGCGCCCCAGCCTGGGTGAAAACCGCAGAAAGGAGGAAGCCTGTGACGTCACGTCTGGAGGCGTGCCTTGATCCAGCCAATGGAAGGCTTGGATATGAAGTGAAGGGGGCCGCTGCCCCTGCAGAACAAATCAGTCAAGCAGTCAATCAATATTTGATGAGTTCCTACTACGTGTTGGCTACTGGGCAAGAGCTGGAAATCACCACGGACATAGGACAAATCAGAAAAAGAAGAGATCATCTCTTAAACTGATAAAATGACCCAACATACTGAAACTTTAAGGATTCAGGCAAAGCAATCCTTATGTATAATGTATCTTTCCAATACACTCATGAATAAAAGAGTAAACTAAAATACTAAAAGAAAAAACCTGGAAAAGAAACACATAGAAAAAAAAAACTTCACATAAAGATAAGTTCTGCAAATGAAAGAAGAAATGAATAAAATTTGGGCAAAACAAATAGCTAATTGATTTTTAAAGGACAACCAAATTGCCAGGATCTTTTTTTTTAATGGAAAAAAAGGGATGAAGATCAGTCAGTCAATTAACATTTAACAACTGCCTACTATGAGTCCGGTAGTGTGCTAAGCACTGCGGATAGAAAAAAAAAAAGGCAAAAGACAGTGCCCTCAAGGATCTAGCGATCTAAAGGGAGAGAAAATAAGTAAACAAATATGTACAAAGGAGCTGCCTAGGGAATAAATAAAAACTAATTAACAGACAGAAGCTATTAGAATTCAGAAAATTTGAGAAAAGCTTCCTGTAAAAACATAGGATTTTAGCTGGGACTTTAAGGAAGTCAGGGAAGCCGCGTTCCAGGCAGGGAGGAGAGTCAGAGAAACTGCCCAAAGCCGGAGATGGAGTGTCCTGGTGGTGAAACAGCCAGGAGGCTAGAGACAGTGGATTGAAGAACACATGGAAGGGAATAAGGTGTAAGAAGACTGGGAAGGTGAGAGGGGACAAGTTTAAGAAGAGTTTTGAATGCAAAACAGAGGATTCTGTGTTTGATCCTGGAGGCAATAGGGAGCCACTAGAGTTTATGAGTATTTATGTGTGTATGTGCCTGTGTGTGTGTGTGTGTGTGTGTGTGTGTGTGTGTGGCGGGAGGGTAATCATCAGATCTGTGCTTTAGGATACTCACTTTGAGTGGAGAACGGAATGGAGTGGAGAGAGACCCGAGGCAGATGAAATAAAGGAAAGTATTAGCAGAAACTCTTTCGCTCAATTTTATGCCAACGAAACTGATGAATGAATATTTACAAAAACATGAAGTACCCAGATTAACAGAACCAGAAGAAACTAAACAAACCATAAATGAACTTGCAAAGTTTGGGGGAGTGAGAGAAAGAACCCAAGGAGCAAATGGATTTACAAAGGAATTCTAGCAAATCTTTAAAGAAAAACTAACTTCAGTTTTACATAAATTGTCTCTTAAAATAGGGAAACTCTTGACAGAAAAATGTGATTTTTCAACACCAAAAACCTGGGCAAGAAAAGTCAAAGAAAGAATATAATATGCCATTCTCTCTGATGAATATATGTACAAAAATACTAAATAAAGAAGCTACCAGAACATATTACAAAGCTGTTACTGTGGCCAGATTGAATTTATAATAGGAATGCCAGTCAGATTCAATATTAAGAAAAGACACAAATGTAATAAGCTACATTAATAACAAAATCAAGAAAGATACATAATTATATGAAGTACTCTATCCATCTTGATTTTAGATAAATATTGTTTGATTAGTATTTTATTTTTTCCAATTACATGTAAAGACAATGCTTCAGTCATTTTTATAAAATTATGAGTTCCATATTTTTCCCTCCTTCCCCACCCCCTCTCCAAAATGGTAAACAATTTGATATTGGTTATATATGTGCAATCAGATACCGTATTTCCATGTTAGACATGTTGGGAAATCAGAAATAGAATAAAAGGGAAAAAAAAGAAAAAAAGTGAAAATACTATACTTTGATCTACATTCAGACTCTATTACTCTTTCTCTGGAGGTGAAGAGAATTTTCCAACCTAAGTCTTTTGGAATTGTCTTGAATCACTGTATTGGTGAGAAGAGTCAAGTCAATCACAATTAATCATCAAAAAGTGTTGCTGTGTGTACAATGTTGTCCTGGTTCTGCTCATTTCACTTTTCACCAACTCATGTAAGTCTTTCCAGCTTTTTCTGAAATCCACCTGTCCATCATTTCTGATAGCACAAGAATATTTCATTACATTCATATGTCACAACGTATTCAGCCATTCCCCAGCTGATGGGCATCACCTCAATGTCCAACTCTTTGCACCACAAAAAGAGCTGCTATAAATATTTTTGCACATATGAGTCCTTTTCTCTTTTATCATGATCTCTTAGTGAAACAGACCTAGTAATGGTGTTGCTAGATCAAAGGGTATGGACAGTTTGATTGCCCTTTGGGCATAGTTACAAATTTTTCTCCAGAATGGTTGGGTCTGTTCACCACTGTTCAACAGTGCATTACTGTCCCAATTTTCGTACATCCATCTTTTCTTTTCTATCATATTAACTAATCTGATAGGTGTGAGGTAGTGACTCAGCATTGTTTTAATTTGCTTTTCTCTAAACAATAGTTATTTGGAGCAATTTTCCTAAAAATAGAGATAGCTTTGATTACATCATCACGAAAACAGCCTGTTTATATCCTTTCACCATTTATCAATTGGGGAACGACTTGTATTCTTATAAATTTGATTCAGTTCTCCATATATTTCAGAAATGGGGACTTTATCAGAGACACTTGCTGTAAAAATTGTTTTGCAGCTTTCTGCTTTCCTTCTAATCTTGGTTGCATTGGTTTTGTTCATGCTAAAATTTTTTAATTTAATATAATCAAAACTATCCATTTTAGTTTTCCCAGCAGTTTTTTTCAAAGAGTGGATTCTTATCCCAGAAGCTGGGGTCTTCGGGTTTATCAAATAATAGATTACTATAGTCATTGACCACTGTGTCTTGCATATTTAATCTGTTCCACTGATCTACCACTCTATTTCTTAGCCAGCACCAAGCAGTTTTGATGATTGCTGTTTTATAATATAATTTAAGATCTGGAATGGCTAAGCCACCTTCCCCTGCATTTCTTTTCGTTAGTTCTCTTGATATTCTGGACCTTTTGTTTTTCAAAATGAATCTTGTTATTATTTTTTTCTAAATCTATAAAATAATTTTTTGGTAGTTTGATTGGTATGGCACTGAATAAGCAAATTAGCTTAGGTAGAATTGTAATTTTTATTGTATTAGCTTGGCCTACCCATGAGCAACTGATGTTTTTCCAATTATTTAGATTTGACTTTATTTGTGTAAAAAGTGTTTTGTAATTGTGTTCATACAGTTCCTGGGCTTGTGTAGGCAGGCAGACTTAAGTATTTTATACTGTCTAGAGTTATTTTTAATAGAATTTCTATTTCTGTCTCTTGCTGCTGTACTTTGTTGGTAATATACAAAAATGTAGATGATTGATATGGGGTTTTTTGTATCCTGCAACTTTGCTAAAGTTGGTAATTATTTCAAGTAGTTTTTTTAGTTGATTCTTTAGGATTCTCTAAGTATACCATCATATCATCTGTAAAGAGTAATAGTTTTTTTTCCTCATTGCCTATTCCACAGGTGTGGAACCTGTGGCCTCAAGGCCACATGTGACTCTCTAGGTCCTCAAGTGTGGCCCTTTGACTGATTTGTTCTGTAAAACTTGGACCCAGTCAAAAGGCCACACCCAAGGATCTAGAAGGCCACATGTAGCCTCAAGGCCAAAGCTTCCCTATCCCTAGCCTTCTGTAATAACTTCAATTTAATTTTCTTCTCTTATTGTTTCACCTAATATTTCTAGTACAATATTGAATAATAGTGGTGATAATGGGCATCCTTCTTCACCCCTGATCTTATTGGGAAGGCTTCTAGCCTATCCCTATTACAGATAATGCTTGCTGATGGTTTTAGATAAATATTAGTTATCATTTTAAGGTAAGCTCCATTTATTCCTATGATCTCTAGTGCTTTTTATAGAATTGGTGCTGTATTTTGTGAAAAGGTTTTCTGAACCTATTAAGATAATTATATGATTTCTGTTGCTTTTGTCATTGATATGGTCAATTATGCTGATAGTTTTCTGAATATTGAACAAGCCCTAAATTCCTGGTTTAAATCCCACCTGGTCATAGTTTATGATCCTGGTGATATATTGCTGTAATCTTTTTGCTAGTATTTTGTTTAAATTTTTGCATCAATATTCATTAGGGAATTTGGTCTATAGATTTCCTTCTCTGTTTTGGTTCTTCAAGGTTTAGGTATAAGCACCATATTTGTGTCATAAAAGGAATTTGGTAGGACTCCTTCATCTGTTTTTCCAAATAGTTTATATAGGTTTGGAATGAATTGTTCTTTAAAAGTTTGGTAGAATTCACTTGTGAATCACTGTGGCCCTGGGGATTTTTTCTTAGGGAGTTCATTGATAAGTTAATCAATTTCTTTTCCTAAAACAGGTTGTTTAAGTATTCTATATCTTCTTCTGTTAATCTGGGCAATCAATATTTTTGTAAATATTCATCCATTTCACTCAGATTGTTAGATTTATTGGTATACAATTGGGCAATATAGTTCCTAATTGTTGCTTTAATTTCCTTTCATTGGTGGTGAATTCACCCTTTTCATTTTTGATACTGGTAATTGTCCACATGGAAAAGGAGGAATAAAAATCCACTGGGGGGGGGAACTTCTTAACACATGGAAAAGGAGGCACAAAAGCTAACTGAAGAAAATTATTCCTTAAAAATTAAAATTGGGCAAGTGGAAGCTAATGACTCTATGAGACACCAAGAATCAATCAAACTAAATCAAAAGACTAAAAAAATAGAAGACAATGTGAAATATCTCATTGAATAAACAACTAACATGGAAAATAGATCCAGGAGAGATAATTTAAAAATTATTAGACTTCCTGAAAGCATTTGAAACTATACCCCAAAAGTCACTGAGTTGTG